CTTGCATTGGAGTGGGACGGGTTCGCAGGCGTTGGACGAATGCTCATTCGGCGGTAGGTCGACAAGCTCCTGAATACCCTCGCAAACGCCATGGAGCAGCGTAAGGGTGGGATGTTCCCGACGCACTGGCACTTGAACGGTGGGAAGGCCACGAGCGGTGAGTACTGTCTTTCGGAGGCAATTACCGTAAACGTTAGACTGAACGATCGAAATGCCCAGAGTCACGCTCGATGGGTGCCGCCGCGGACAGTGGCCACGAGTACCTGCTGAAGCAGTATTTGCTCACGGGGAAACAAGACATAGAGAGCCTGGAAATGTGTACGTCATGTCTCCAACCCTACTTCCCGCTCTCCACTCACTGTCAATCGCACAAACTCGCAGACATGCTCACGGCGAACGAAGCGCTCACACGTCTGCTCTATCTCACGCCCAACCGTGAGCTCCTCTACGTCACCGACACCGCCGGCGCTTCGTTCACCGCCTCGCACAACTTCGAGCACCTCGCCTGCTTCTTCCCGGGTCTCCTCGCGCTCGGCGCGCACACGCTCGACCTGAACGCTGCGCTTGCCGCGATCGACCCGACCAAGCTGAGCGCGGAGGCGCGCCGGCAGTACGACGTGCTGTCCAAGTACGACCAGCACGCGCTGCACATGGCGGCCGCGGAGGGGCTCGCGACGAGCTGCTGGCTCATGTACGCGGACCAGCCGAGCGGGCTCGGGCCCGAGACCGTGCAGATGCGGCACGACTACAAGTTCGTCGGCGAGGACGGGAAGCCGAAGGTGAACGGGAAGGGCAAGCTCTGGATCGACGCGGTCGAGGAGTGGGATGAGCGCGGGAGGCAGGGGCCGCTGCCGGGCTTGGGCGAGAAGAAGACGATCGCACAGCTGAGGAAGGAGGACGGGACGGCGCAGGCGGACTATTCTGTGCGGAGGCCAGACTATTTCTTGCGCCCGGAGGTGAGCGTCGGTTTCGCAGTCTACAGTCTGACGGAGACGTGTTCTTTCATGGTCCACGGCGAGATTCAAAGTGGGGCCGGAGGGCGATCGGACAGGTGATCGCGCACCGATCGTGGCCATGTGCAGCCGCGGTGCCTCTTGCCGATACGTCCGAGTCCTCGGGCAGCGGGGGACGGCGCAGATGCTGACCATATGTTCCTCTTTGACAGACATTAGAATCGATATACCTCATGTGGAGGACGACGGGGAACCCCGTGTGGAGGGAGCGGGGGTGGCAGATATTCCAGGCGATTGAACGGGAGGCGAAGACGCCTTCCGGGTATGCTAGCGTGAAGCAGATCAACAAGTCGCCGGCACCGCAGAGCGACGAACAGCCCAGGTACGTTCGCAACGTAACCATCCCATACTCGCTCACCTGTGACTGAACACGGGCCGTGTCTGCAGCTACTTCCTTGCCGAAACGTGAGTGTCGTCCGATCGGTAACATGCTAAGGGGGGAGAGCTCACATGCTGATCTCGGGGATCCATTTCGTTACAGGCTGAAGTACCTGTACCTGCTGTTCAAGAACGAGGACCTCGTGCCTCTCGACAAGTGGGTGTTCAACACGGAGGCGCACCCGCTCCCCGTCTTCAACTGGAGCAGCTGGGAGAAGCACAAGTTTGGCATCCCGAGCTGAGCGCTCCGTCCTTTTCTTTCACGCTATTCGCAGGGATGTATATAGGCAGGGCGGGTGAGTTCACGATCCCATACTTCCCGCGTAGTAGTAGCTGACTGAGCCGACCGACGATTCCGACGCATCCGCTCGTCCGATCAGGAGTAAGCAAGCATTGGCGGCGGTATGGACAACGACGACGGCATATTGAATGGGCGGGCGTTCGATAACACATCGTGATGGGACCTGGCCGGGGCCGGGGAGGCCTGACGTCGAGCTTCCCGGTGGAAAGTCATCTGTGTGGGCACCCGCTGCGGAACTCTCCTCCGGCCGACGCGTAAAGTGTACTCGCCCGGCGGCGCCGGGACAGAACGGAGGGCGCCCGAAACGATGCTTATGCTGTTGATCCTTTTGCTTCTGCTTATACTGTATGCCTTCTTGGGTTAATGGGAGAGAGACCACTAGAACGTACAGCTTCTCTTGCGCCGGCGGAGGAACAAGCTTTACGAGAGAACTTGAGAAGAGGTACGGGTACCTCGACAGACACTCAGGAGTACTATCGGGACGCGAGGGCTTGGCGGGAAAGAAGGCTTTACCCCAGGTTTACCCCAGTCAGCTGACGGGCGGGCCGGGGCGTCCGGGGAGGTGGAACGGTGATCGGGCGCAGGGATCTTGGGTGAGACGCGTGGGAGAGCTATCGCGACCCCTGATTCTTGCGATCCTCCTCAATCCAATGCCAGATTAAATACGCGCGCCCCCTCCCCGCTCGCCCGTCCGGTAATATTCCTCCTCCTCCTCTTCCCTCCTTCTCCTCCTCCTACCTCCACCCACCTCTCTCACAACATGGCTAACCTCAAGCAGGGCGAGTTCGTCGGCTCCCTCGACTGCGGTACTACGTGCGTCTACCGGTTTTCCATCTTGTGCCGATCGCGCGAGCATAGAACAAAATGTCCTGACGGTTTTTGTCGCGCTGCGCTCTCTAGGTCCACCCGGTTCCTCATCTTTGACAAGTATGCGAACATCGTGGCCCAGCACCAGCTGGAGTACCCCCAGTACTACCCCGAGCCCAGGTGCGTCGCGCGCGGCGTTACTCTCGTTTACATCTACGGGAACGGAACTCATCCGCCTCCGTCTTCCGCTCTGCAGCTGGCACGAGCAGGACCCCGATGAGCTGATGGAGAGCTGCGACGCCTGCATCACCGAGGCGTGCAAGGCGCTCGAGGCGTCCGGATGGGCCAAGGAGAGCGTCAAGGTCATCGGTGCGTCTCCTTCCGTCTCGCCCGGTCAACTGACCGCTCCCGGCGTACAAGCGATAACGGACTAACGTGCGTGTCTCCGCGCGCGCTCTGCGCTCTGCGCTGCACAGGCATCACGAACCAGCGTGAGAGCGCGGTGGCCTGGAGCCGCAAGACGGGGAAGCCGCTGTGCCGGCTGATCGTGTGGGACGACTCGCGGACGAAGAACACGGTCGCGCACTTTGAGCACAAGCTGCAGACGACCGGCATCGAGCTCGCCCAGGGCGAGTTCAAGAAGGGCGAGGAGGGCATCCAGGCGCTTCGCAAGCTGTGAGTACCCTCCTGATGATGTCATCGCCTAACGCGCACAAGATCGCGCTTGCTCAGATCGCTCTCTTCTGCGGCCGCGGCTGCTCAGGTCCGGTCTTCCGATCTCTACCTACTTCTCCGCCATTAAGCTGCGGTGGATGATCGACCACCACGACAATGTCCGCAAGGCGCATGAGGAGGACGACCTTATGTTCGGCACTGTCGAGTCCTGGATCGTCTACGTACGTCTTCGCAAACCAGAATTTTCGTGGTATTGTTGCTAACCCAAGGACTTGTAGCGTTTGACTGGTAGCACCCAGACGAACCTGCACATCACCGATGTCACCAACGCGTCCCGTACGCTCCTCATGAACCTCACCACGCTCAAGTGGGACCCCGTCCTGCTCAAGTTCTTCGAGATCAAGGACTCCGTCCTCCCGAAGATCGTCTCTTCGTCCGAGGTGTACGGTGAGCTCGCGTACGGCCCACTCAAGGGCGTGAAGATTGGCGGTCTTGCTGGCGACCAGCAGGCGGCTCTTGTCGGCAACAAGTGCTTGAAGCAGGGTGAGGCCAAGTGCACGTATGGCACTGGTGCTTTCCTCCTCTTCTGCACTGGCGAGGACATTGTCCAGAGCCAGCACGGCTTGTTGTCCACCGTGAGTTTTCATCCCGTACACGACCGTTCCTACCGCTGACAAGCCTCTCGTAGGTTGCATACCAGGACGGCAGCAGCAAGAAGCCCATTTATGCGCTGGAAGGCAGTAGTACGTATCCCACAGTTCGCAACTGTGCACCCTGCGCTCGTTACTGACATTTGCCCAGTCGCTGTTGCCGGCAGTGCGATCAAGTGGTACGAATTATAGCACATCTCTCTTCTGGTATCTTAGCTGAGGTGTGATCCCCCCAGGCTCCGTGACTCGATGAAGATGGTGTCATCTGCCGCTGAGGTTAACACCCTCGCCGACTCCGTGCCCGACACCGGAGGAGTCTACTTCGTCACCGCCTTCTCTGGTCTCCTCGCGCCCTACTGGGACCCCGGAGCGGCCGGTCTCCTCATCGGTACGTTCGCCATGCCTCCCTTGTAACCAATCACGCGCTGACAGGTTGAGAATACCTACAGGTCTGTCGGCTTACACCACCCCCGCGCACATCGCTCTCGCGACCCTCGAGGCGAACGCCTTCCAGACCCGCGCGATCCTCGAGAGCATGAAGCTCGACTCCAAGACGGACCTCAAGCACCTCATGGTCGACGGCGGCATGACCAACGGCGACAAGGTCATGAAGGTCCTCGCCGACATCGGCGGCTTCACCGTCATCCGCCCCGAGATGCGAGAGTGCGTCCTCCTTCCCCTTATTCCCCTTTCCCGCCACCTTTGCGCCCCATCCCTAGCCCGCCGTTTGTTGCCCTGTACTGACGGAGATTTGTGCGTGTGCAGGTCGACCGCGCTTGGCTCCGCGCTCCTCGCGGGCTCTGCGATCCGCCTGCACGGCTGGAACATCAGCGAGCCCGAGACGCTCGCAGAGGTCAACACCGCCGGCACCCTCGACTTCACGCCCTCGATGCCCGAGGCCGAGCGCGAGAAGCGCTGGCAGGGCTGGAAGCGCGCCATCGAGCGCTCCGTTGGCTGGGAGGAGGGCGTTGACGAGTAGGCCCGCCGCCGCGTGCGCCTGAGCTTCGAAGACTTGCTTCCTTGATGCCTCCCGGGGAAGCGAGCGGGAGAAGGAACGAAGATCTAGCAGAACATTTATTCTGTATACCTAGCTGATGTTTGTGTATTGTTGTACTACATTTTGAGTATTCATCTTGGGGCCTGCCTCTGGGAATTTGCAGCAACCCAAGAAACAAGGGCACTATAGTGTAGCGGTTATCACTTGGGATTCTGACTTAGGTTGTTCCCAAAACCCAGGTTCGATTCCTGGTAGTGCCTTATCTGGCCATGACTGTTTTTTCTCTCATTTTACTCCTTTTGTCACAACATCCCAGGTAGCTTACAACGGCCACAGATCCCATTCAAGATAATTGTATCGGACAAGACAGTGAAGACACGATGTACCAAGCAAATATAGATAAGCAAGTCATAACGAGCGAACGAAGGGCCCCGACAGTCCACATACACGCAAAGTCCAACTGTAATCATACATTCTCGCTCATTTCTACAGGCAACTGGCTGTATCCCGCCAGGTCCCTCCGTCCCCGCGCGACACCCCGCACGGCCTCCCACGCCTCCCCGAGCGCGTTCCGCGCGCTGTCGAGCATCGTCTCGCGGGGCACGGTCTCCCCGGGCATGAGGCTCGCCTCGGGGCGGACCCACCACTTGAGCGCGAGGGAGCTCGTGACGACGCTGACGGACGAGAACGCCATGGCGGCGGCGGCGCCCATGGGCGGGAGGCTGAGGCCGAGCGGGAGGAAGAAGCCCATCGCGAGCGGGATGCCGAGGACGTTGTAGAGGCACGCCCAGACGAGGTTCCGCCGGATGGTCGCGAAGATCGCGCGGGAGAGGTGCAGCGCGGCGACGACGTCGAGCAGGTCGGAGCGCATGAGGACGATGTCGGCCGCTTCGATCGCGACGGAGGTGCCGGACGAGAGCGCGATGCCGACCGAGGCGGCGACGAGGGACGGGGAGTCGTTGATGCCGTCGCCGACCTGTGCAATTTGTGAGCCAAAAATTAACGGGAGAGGACGAGCTGCACACGTACCATGGCCACGCCGCCGCCGTACTTCTCCATGAGCTCTGTCACGACAGATGCCTTGCCCTTCGGGCTCATGTTCGCCCACACGTTCTCCGGCTTGATGCCAACCTGCTTCGCGACGGCCATCGCGGTGCCCTTCGCGTCTCCCGTCATCATGTTGACCTCGATGCCCATGTCCTGGAGCGCCTTGATAGCGTACGCCGACGACGGGCGGGGAGCATCCGAGAGCGCGATCGCGAGGACGGGTACGGGGGGCTTGCCTGAAGGCGCGAGAGCGACGAAGATCGACGTACGGCCCTGGTGCTCTTCCTCGAAATTGAATGCGGCGAGGGCGGTGGGCAACTGGGCCTCGCCGTCCTGGAGGACAAAGCGCGCGTTGCCTACACGGACGGTGTACTTGCCTTTGCCGCCGGGTAGAATGATGTCCGCCTGTACTCCCGCACCGGTGACACTCTCGAAGGAGTTGATGGTGACCTCGGGAATGGCGACCAAGGACTTGCTCAAAAGCTCCTTGCCGTACACCGCTACAGCCTTCGCGAGAGGGTGCTCCGAGCGTGCTTCCGTGGCTGCCACCATAGCAACCACCTCCGCCCGCGTGACGTTCCCAAGGCATTTGGTCGTAAGAGGAGCTTCGTCGAGTGACTGCGGGGCGTCATCCACAAACGTCTGCAAGTCGCTGTGGTCGCTGGACGGCGCCCATGCGGTCGCAGCAACGGTCAATTTACCTTGAGTGACCGTACCCGTCTTGTCAAGCACAATGCGATTGATAAAACGGCTTGCTTCGAGGGCTCGTCCGCCTTTGATGAGGATACCGTTCTTCGCTCCCATACCGGTCCCTACCATGATCGCGGTGGGGGTGCTCAGACCAAGGGCGCACGGGCATGCGACGACTACGACGGAGATACACAGCTGAAGGCAGACCGCGAGCTTCGATGCGCCGTGCATGCGGAACTGAGAGGGAAGCGACTCATCGCTCACGACGTGCGAGATGACCATCCATGCGGTGAAGGTGATCAGGGAGAGCGAGATGACGGTGGGGACGAAGTATCCGGCGACCTTGTCCGCGAAGGCCTGGATAGGTGCCTTCGATGTCTGCGCCTCCTCGACAAGCTTCACGATCTGCGCGAGCGCGGTGTCCTTTCCGGCACGGGTGACGATCATATCGAACGTCCCGAGACCATTGACCGTGCCGCCGATGACGCTGTCTCCCGGCTGCTTGAGTACGGGGATGGGCTCGCCGGTGACCGCGCTCTCGTCCACGGTCGATGTTCCCCGCAAGACTGTCCCATCGGCCGGGACTTTGTCACCCGGCACGAGCTTGACGGTGTCGCCCACTTGGACAAGCTCCGTTGGGATTTTCTTCTCCTGGGTGCAAGCCGGGGCATCCGTATAGATGGTCGCCATGGAAGGTGCCAAAGCCATCAGATCCGTGAGAGCAGCACTGGTCTTGCCCTTCGCCCGGTTCTCAAGGTACCGACCAAGAGAGACAAACATGATGAGCATGGTGCTGGTGTCAAAGAACACCATTGGGTGGTACTCCATGTGCGGGCTCAATGCAGCAAAGAGCATCGCGCCGACCGAATACACGTAGGCCGCTGACGTTCCGAGGGCGATGAGTACGTCCATGGTGGCGCTTCCATGCTTCAATGACTTGTAGGCGTTCTTGTAGAACTTCTGCCCTAACCAGAAAAGCGCTGGGGTGGTGAGGAGGAACGCTAGCACGTCGCCAATGTAGACACCGCGACACATCTTGAACTCGACGATCGGGGCGAGGAAGGGAATCCTCTTGGCAATCATAGTGATGAAGAAGACCGGAATCGCGAAGACGAGACTCCACTGGAAGCGAGAACGCCACTCCTGGATCTCCTTCGTGCGTGTGAGCGAACGCAGCTGCGTCGCGTCTTCTTGGTCAGACACCATTGCGTCGAAGCCCATCTCTTCTATTCGCTCGACCAGTTCCCGGGGACCGACCATAGTCCTGTCAAACTCGACCTTGCAGGTTTCGGTAGCGAGTGAGACAGCTACACTGGAGACCCCAGGCATCGACCCTAGCTCCTTCTCGACGGTGGATGTACATGATGAGCAGGTCATGCCATATATGCGGAGAGTGATGGTGTCTGATCGCGTTGGTGGGATGAGTGTAGCATCGAATCCTATGTCGGAAATCTCCTACAGAGACCGTTAGCAATGTGAGCAAACATAGAACGTACGCAACCCGACGAAGAATAAGTCTGATAAAAAGACGGCATTGCCGCATATAAGCAGAGGCGGGCAAGTGCCGGAGGTACTCAGCAGATCTCACGGATGGACAGACCTAAGAATACACGCCGCGGAGACTAAGTGGCCTTAGTTACTCAACTCGCGGTGGCTTCGAAGACTACAGCACTCTAAACTAGAGGGATTGAGAGGCAGGTCGATCCAAACAGTCGGTTGGAGGTCGGAGGTAGTCGTGAAACCCAGTACATAGCCACCTGCCGCAACGAAGCTAACTCACGAAAGATGGCTACACAAGGCTGTCCAGACTAGAACTCGAATGGTCGTCCATACCATTCACTTGCAATAGGGCTATAGTACGATGGTCAGAGAGCGAGTACTCACGCTAACAATCTTGTCCGGGTCCCAAATGGCAGGGTCGTATTCCACGACTCCGCGCTCGGCGAGCAGAGCAACTTTGACAGAATGGATTCCTGGTTGCGATCGTAACATGCCCTCTATGGACTATTCGTACTTCAGCAACGCCTATGCATGCGATGCGAGGGCGTGCACTCACCTCCACACATGCACCGCAAGTCATGCCCTCAATCCTGAGCTCGCACTTCTCCGACCCGGATCCGCTGCCTAGGACGAGTGGTTCATCTTCAGCCACTGGAAGCTCTAGCTTGCCAGAAGTCGGTGTTCGGGGCGACCGAAGGATACTGTTGAAAGCAGCGGATAGGCCGTCCATAGCCACAGTAGTAGGAAGTCGATTAGGTAGAGTGTTCGGGCCACGTCGGAGGAGATAAATAAGAGGAAGAGAGGACAAGAGCGCCTGCGCTGACTGTCGGTATTTCTCGGCGGTGCCTGAGGAGGAGAGAGCGAAGTGAAGCCGAGCTTACGGAGCGGGTGACGATGAGCGGAACGGTGAGAGTCTGCAGGAGGTCACTCGCGCGGTGCCCGGCCGCAGCTGAGGCACTTCTGCGCGCCTTACTAAGGTTCCGTTTCTCACGTTTCATCTATCACTGTTCTCCGTTTCTCATCCTCCATTGTCCCTTCCTAGACGTCTAGTCAGAACTTGAAGACGTAGAAAGACGTCCGGCGATATGTCTAGGAATGCAATCGGTGTTCAACCTGATATACCGGTACCTACGTATACTATTTAGCAGCCAGCGGCATGTTGTTAACTGATAAGATTTGTGGTTGCCTACGGATCCCGATAAGCGCTCGTAGTACGAGCCCTCGGACTCGGCTGCCCTCCCGAGTCCCTTGACCTTTGCGATTGCCGTCTAGTGCTGTAGTTTCACGCAATCCATGCATACCCTCAAACTATATGATTGTAGCCCGCAGAACGTGGACTCGTCAGTATGTGGCCAGCGACGGGTAATGTTAGTGTGGGCTACAAACTTCCGTGCGTATGTGCAAGCGAAGTTCTCCGAGCGAGCTATGCACAACTTATTATGGGCATGTGAGCCCTCCTGCGCTAGTGATGGGTTGAAGAGTTGTTGCGCCTGGATGTGCCTGGTAAGTATATACCACAGGCCGGTAGGGCCTCTTGGTCGTACCGTTGGCTGGTGTATACGGGTGTATGAATGCCGCATGAGGGTAACATAGGGGCTTATACTGCTGATAGCGAACTCATCGCGGATAAAACAAACGGATAGTATCTAGAAGTCTTCTAAATGCGGGGATGTACCCATGATACTGCTGCTTGAGCCACATGCAGGGAGAAGCCGCGTGCTGCTGTGAAACACTATATCAATTGATACTCTCTATCAAGAATTGGCTACGTAGCGATTACAGCAAAAGATGGGCATGATTGAGCTCTGATAAGAGTGTATCTGTCTCTAACATACCCGTTAGTCTTCACTTCCCGGTGAAGCTGGAGCAGAACTAGCGTTCAGTGGATGGCGGAGGTCGGAATCCTCGGATGAAGTACGAGAGCCACGTGGGTGTAAGTAAGTTCACAGCAACAACAAGCGCCCGGAGACTCCGAGTCAGTCGGACTCGATCGCTTGGAACCTAGCCACAAGAACAGTCTGAC